GACATTTGTATCAGATCGTCAAACAAGTACTTGTCCATATTGAGAGATATTGCTCTGGAACAGCATTCAAAATCAGCCATTTTGAATACATGTATATATATACATAACATGATGTATAACGAATATATAAAATTTGAATATAATCAGTCAAAGCATTTAAAAGATATGGCTCTAGAAGCCCAATCATTAAAACAAAATGGCCGCCAGTCAGCCATTTTGAATCCAATCTGAAAATAAAATGATGTGCATCAGGAACCTGTAATGTCTAATGTATGTTATAAGTTTGAACAAAATCCATCCATAAATGCAAGAAATGCTTGATATTTGAGGATTTTTTCAGCAAAAAAATAGCCACCATTTGGACACTTTGAAAAGGATTGTCAAACCAATATATCCGTATATCTATGACATGACGTATAGTGAATATTGAAAATTTGAACATAATCAGTCAAAACAAGTCAGACATATGGGTCTGGAAACCCATTCAATAAAACAACCATTTTGAATCCGATCTGAAAAATAAATGATGTGCATCAGAAACCTGTAATGTCTAATATATGTACCAAGTTTGATCGAAATCCATCCATAAATGCCAGAAACGCTTGATATTTGATGATTTTTTTTGCACAAAAATGGCTACTATTCGGCCATTTTGAATAGGATTGTCAAACCAATATATTTATCTATCTATGACATGATGTATAATGAATATTTAAAATTTGAACATAATCAGTGAAAGCAAGTCAGACATATGGCACGAGAACCACATTCATTAAAACAAAATGGCCACCAGTCGGCCACTTTGAATCTAATCTGAAAAACAAAATTATTTGCATCAAGGTCCCATAATGTCTAATGTATATACCAAGTTTGAACAAAATCCATCTGTAAACAGCAGAGAAATGCTTGATTTTCATGATTTTTTAGCACAAAAATGGCCGCCATTCGGCCATTTTTAATAGAATCATCAAACCAATATATCTGTATATCTATGACATGATCTATATTGAATATTTAAAATTTGAACATAATCAGTCAAAGCAAGTCAGAGATATGACACTAGAACCACATTCATTAAAACAAAATGGCCGCCAGTCGGCCATTTTGAATCTTATCTGAAAAACAAAAATGATGTGCATTAAGGTCCTATAATGTCTAACGTATATACCAAATTTTGAACAAAATCCATCTGTAAACAGCCGAAAAATGTTTGATTTTGATGATTTTTAGCACAAAAATGGCCACCATTCGGCCATCTTGACTCAGATTGTGAAACACACGGAGGTCAAAACATAAGTCCCCGTTTTCGGACTGCGTCCGAATGGGGACTAAAAATAAAGTTGGTAAGTAGGTACTAAAGGTCGTTCATTTCTTTTATCAATAGGTTCAATTATTATCAACAACAAGATAGTTGCATACTTATGAATAATAAATAGTGTGTTTCTGATAGCACTGAAAACAAAAATAGAGTTGGTAAGTAGGTATCATTTTTGTATTTCAGTTATTGTCAACAAGATAGTTGCATACAAAAGGACTTTTTCAATCAAATTTTCAAAATACCTGACGGAATGCACAGAATGGTCCGAATGTAAATTAACATTTATCTACCTTTAAAGCTGACTTGGAGCTAGCTTGGCTTGCTTTTCAAAATGCCAAATATGTAAATTGTGCAGGAAAAACTACCTAAATATGTAAATTGTGCAGGGAAAACTGCATATCATAGGTGTTAAACTTGCTGTACAATAAACTCCCAGTATGCAGTGCAGTAAACTCCCAGCATGCATTGGGGTAAACATCCGGTTGACCTTTTATGTAGTGAACTGCGCATGTGCAGTACTTTGTGTCACATGCTCCGTGTGTTTTTTTGGAGCTGTGCCGTCTGTATTTCTGTGAACCGGATGCTAATAAAGATGAAACCGTTTACCGATATTGTTGAGTTCATACTCTATTAATAGGTACATTACAACAAAAAGTTAAATAAATTATTGATGACAATGAGATTCACTTTAAAAATGTTATGTTTTCATGAAAAAGCCAAATGAGAGCCACCATGGAAGTAAATTTACCTCCAAACTGTACTGTACATAACATTTATTTTTATACATTTGTCATCGTAACGTGTAATGCCATAAGTTACAGCGTGCCGTAATTTTGTGGCATTTTCATTTTACCATATTAGGAAATGTTAATTCCAAATATGAAATGATTATGCGCGTAAGCGTCCTCTAATAATAAAAACAAACATAGCTGCCACAAGGGCAAAATTACGTGAACGACAAGTTGCAGAATCAGCTGTAAGCATATCTTCGTGACTTTAAGTCACTGTGACTCTCCTAAGAAAAGTATTTATATTTTTGTTGAGATACAAATGGCAGTTTGTTGGCCATTATTTATGAAAACCAATTGGAGGCTTTTGTAGGATAGAATTTACTGTTTTCACCCAATGTTTTAGTGGAATCATCATCTACACATATCAGAGAAATGAAAGAAAATAATCAAAGTTCCATTACCTTACAACCATAAAAATTAAAAATTCGGAATAACTATGATATCTTACCTTTGTAAGTAAAGTATTTTCTGGCGATGGTTTCTCCTCTTTTAACTCTGTACAATCCAACGTCACATACTTCACACACTTGTGATGACATGTGTACTTACAGTCTTTAAAAAAAGGTAAACAAAATATGAAAATGTAGTAACCGAAATATATTATATACAAACAAACTCATTGACTGCAGACCAGATTTTAAGAACTGAGAATTTATTATCAGTGGTATTCGTGCAAGTATTAGGATGGATATGGTAGCCAAGACTATTGAAAAGACAATAATATGAGGTTATTACGAGGATACTGCAATATATGCAGTACAGTGAAGACAGTACAGCAGGAGTATCAACCAATGCACAGCAGAGATCGATGCAACTGGGTACTGTCTGAGTGCATACTTTGCAGTATCCTTGTAATAACCTTATAACTTGACTGAATTGTGTTAAATTACTCTTAAGATTGAATTTTAAGTCATTTCTTAACATCTTTTATAAAATGTAGTTCAATCAGACTTCTATCTATAAGCTAATATTATATTTCAACACGGTTACTTAAAAAGAATCACATACTTTTCATTAGATGCAAGTCTTGTTTTTAAATTAGTAATTGTGATTTCAATATATAAAGAGCACTGTATAAACCTTTTCAAATTAATGAAAAATAAAGTATATCAAAAACTTGAATCTGATCACCAAATGTCACTGAATAAATGTGAATATGTACAACTTGATTTATTTATTATGAACATGATCAGTCAGAAAATGTTGAAAATACAGCTCCGGAACTGCATTTTTTATAAACAAAATGGCCACCTGTCGGCCATTTTGAATCGATTGAGAAAAAAATAAAAAAATACCCAACA